TTTAGTATTATTGAGTTCTTAATTTTCTTTATACTTCCTCAGCATCTGTGTCACATGCCCTTGTTTTCCTGCTGTCATCAATGTGAGGTGGAGACTTCAAGGCTTAAGGGCACCCGTCTAATGTCCCATATAGAAAGTGGGATTGGAACCCAGGTCCATCCGACCCAAAACTGCTGAATTAATTGCTTTCCTTGTTTCTACTCGCTTCTTCCCCAACTCATTCCACCAAGTTTTACAACAGGAGGTAATGAAATGCATTCTGAAATAGCAGCAAAATGGAAAGCCTAAAAAACCTGAATATTTTGTGCTTGGCAAGAATTCCCGGCATTTAAAAAATGACATTCCTTTATTTTTGTTCTGAAATACATACTAATTAGTTTGTTCGGTTAATTTGTCTTGATACGTGTATTTTAAAATATTAGGGAAAAATGCATGCTGTCCAAGTCTACATTATTGAGTCATTATTAAATGGGCACCCATGGTGGGTAAATAAACGCTGAAGATTTTATATGACGATGATGAAAATGACCATATTCTGGTTTTTGGAATTTTTGAGCCATGTTTTATGTACAGTTTGATAAAGGAAAGAGTTTGACAGCTTGGTCTCCAACTGCCTCACCCTCGGTGAGTGGTGGCCCCCTTGTGGGACCCCCTGTTTTTCAGTGTGTGGGGGAAGTCTGGACCAGTCTGGGGATTCCTCAGCCCTCTGCCTCCCTCCTCTTTCTTCTCCTCCCCACATGCTGGGTTTTGCATGTCAATATTCAGAAAGGCCACAGAGCCCTGCACGGGTCGGGTCGGGAGAAGGACAGGCCGGGCAAAGTCAGCTTCTCTGAGGTGGGGGGAGGGCAGCAGGACCCCTCTCATCCCATGTGGCTTTCCTGTGTGTCAGAGATGTGATGGATACAGGATGAATTTGACTAGCGAAGAATGAAATTTGGATTCTGCGGAGGCCAGTGCACAGATGCCGGCCACCTTCTGCACTTAATGTAAGCTCCTCTTTAGTCTCAAACTAGCCTGCCACTCCCCCAGTTTGTTCGTTCTTTTCTTTTATTTTTTTTGAGTCAGAGTCTCACTCTGTGGCCCGGGCTAGAGTGCCGGGGCATCAGTCTAGCTCACAGCAACCTCCAACTCCTGGGCTCAAGTGATCCTCCTGCCTCAGCCTCCCAAGTAGCTGGGACTACAGGCATGCACCACCATGCCTGGCTAACTTTTTAAAATATATATTTAATGTATTTTTATAAAATTTAATATTTAATAATAAAATTTTAATATAAATAAAATAAAAATAAAATTTTAAAATAATATTTAATATTTTATAAATATTTAATATATTAATATATTTAATATATTTTAATGTTATATTTTATATTATATTTTTATATATTATTAATTAAATATAATATATTTAATATAATTTTTAAAATATAAGTTGTCCAATTTCTTTATTTTTAGTAGAGGCGGGGGTTTCGCTCTTGTTCAGGCTGGTTTTGAACTTCTGATCTTGAGCAATCTGCCTGCCTTGGCCTCCCAGAGTGCTAGGATTACAGCCATGAGTCACCCCCAGTTCTTTTGTATCCTGCCTATGGCTCCTTTCCCCAGATTTGCACCTGTGTGTGTCCCTTCTGGCCCCCATAAGCAGCAAGCCAGGCTTGGGGGATGAAGGCCCACTGACTGCCCCCCACCCCTATCTGCCAGTGACTGGCCACTAGCATGAGCTGCAATTGCTTTGGCCTCAGGAGTTGGGAGGATTAGTAGGGTGCCTCTTGGCATTTTTTTGTGCCACAGACCGCTGAGAGCATTAAGACTTTTATCTTAAAGAAAAGACTTTTTATCTTGAGCCTTTTCAGTGCTTTTACCACTTTTCAGGGCTGTAGGATCTAACAATAGTTTTTCTTGGAGACTTAATGAAGAGTCTACCCCCAAAGCAGGCCTGTCTGGCTTGGAATTATTCACCATTTGTTGTCAGCATGAGTCAAGAAAAGAAGCCAAAAGAATTTGAGGAGTCAAAAGAAAACCAGAGAAGCTATCCCTGAATCTGAACATTTGCAGACTAAATACTTTAAGAAAAATGGTAGTAAGAACATTTAACATGCAATCTACCCTTTTAACAAAATTTTAATTGTAAATACAGTATTGTTAACTGTACGCATCGTACAACCTGTTGGTCTTGCACAACTGAAACTTTTGTCTCAGTTGACTAGTAGTGCCCCTTTCCCCCTCCCGCAGCCCCTGGCAACCACTGTTCTGCTCTCTGCTTCTGGTTTGGCGATTTCAGATACCTCCTAGAAGTGAAATCATGCAGTGTTTGTCTTTCTGTGATTGGCTTCTTTTACTCGGCATAACATTCTCCAGGTTGATCCGTGTTGTCACATATGAATTGAAGGGATTTTCTTTTTTATATATTTTTGGTGTACATGTTTTTTTTATCTTAATTTTTTGTCCCTTAAGGCTGAATAATAATTTATTGTATGTATAGACTACATTTTTTTTTTTTTTATCCATTCACCGGTTGATGGACAACACTTGTTTCTACACCTCGGCTGTCATGAATAGTGTCGCGGTGCAAATGGGAGTGCAAATATCTCTTCAACATCCTGATTTTAGTTCTTCTGGATAAATACCCAGAAGCAGAATTGCTGAGTAAAATGGCGTAGCCACTATGGAAGACAGTATGAAGGTTCTTCAAAAAATTAAAAATACAGAGTAAATACTTTTTGCCAGAGTGCTTCTTGGTCAAGCGTAATTCTAGCTTGGTGTTGCCCTGACCCCATATTCATTTCCCATTAGCTTTTTGTGTTAGGTCAGTTGCTGTGGAGACGTCAGGGTAAAGGGATTGGCTTAGTGCATTTCTGGGTATAAAAAACAAATATCACATGTACTCACTTTGATTTTATTTTTGAGACAGAGTCTCACTCTGTCGCCTGGGCTAGAGTGCCACGGCATTAGCCTGGCTCACAGCAACCTCAAACTCCTGGGCTCAAGTGATCCTCTTGCCTCAGCCTCCCGGGTAGCTGGGACTACAGGCACGTGCCACCATACCTGGCTAATTTTTTCTATTTTTAGTTGTTTGGATAATTACTTTCTATTTATAGTGGACATGGGACCTTGCTCTTTCTCAGGCTGGTCTCGAACTCCTGAGCTCAAGCAATCCTCCTGCCTTGGCCTCCCAGAGTGCTAGGATTACAAGTGTGAGCTGCCGCGCTCGGCCTGTACTCACTTTTAAATTGGATCAATACTTCGTGCACATACAGTAGTAAAATTCAACGGAAATCAAGCAGGTGGGAGCTGGGAGGAGAGGATGGGTAAATTCCCACCTAACAGGCACAGTACACACTATCTGGGTGATGGACATGCTTATAACTTTGACTTAAACTGTACAAAAGGAATTCATGTAACCAAAATGTTCATACCCCTGTAATCTGAAATTTAAAAAAAGAAAAAAAATACGTTGAGCTTGGCAAAGCTGTCATTTACCTGATGGCTTTAGTGCCCCCCGCCCCACTGTAAGATGAGTTGGTTGAAAATTGAGGGAAAAGGGGCTCCAGGAGTCCAAGAGCTCTGAGGACTGTGGCTGTTGGGAAAGGAGGAGCTGGATTAGTCCTGCAACTCCAAATCTCTCCCCCCACACACTCTACTTTTGCAGTGAGCATATGCCCTTACGTGCCCTGCAGTTTCTACTTTCATTGACTCATATACCACTATAGGACATGAGTGTCACACATATGTGTTAACTACCCACAGCCTTGAAGCAGGGCTCCAAACCAGGGTATGGTGGAGGGGCCTGGCACGGGCTGGAGCTGGGAGCCAGGGGATGCCAGGATTTGCGTGAGGCCGGGGGCCTGGAGAAGGGAAGCCCCCACTGCACAGGCCAGGTCGGGCGTGGAGATGCAGCGGGCAGGTGTCCTCAGGGCAGGGCTGGGGTCAGGACTTGTGGAGGATCATTGAGAGAAAGGATTGGACTGGAAATGGAGGCTGGGTTTTGTGCCATGATTGTGGAGCTTTTATCCTGAAGACTCATGGAGAGGTACCCGTATGTTGGTATGAGCAGTTCTTACTGTGCTGCTGTTATTTTTATATTTCAAATAAATTATCATGGATGAATTCCAAGATGGTGCTTTTTCTTTTTTTTCTTCCTCATGACATTTTCAAATCCAAACGTGTCTTGCGTGTGGCTCATGAGAGCCTGTGCAGTGTTATGACAGGCTGGCAATGACGAGCAGGCAACACCCACCTTTGGACTTCGGACACTTTAGGTCCTGGGGGCGACCCTCACGTGACTGGGAAGGAAAGATGACAGTGAGGTGGCTGCCCCCACTGTCACCACCTGCAGACCTAAGCTGATATTTCAAAAGGGATTCCCTATTCAGTTCCATGTCTGCAGGTCATCACATTATTCTAATTTTTTACAAAAGGGTTCATTAACATACACTGTGTGGTTTGCTGTGTGTGTTTTTTAGGTGCAGAAATCAGGAAAAGAAGGCTATAAATGTGGAACAGGCGTTCATGACACAAGAAAGAGATTAGCAGGAAACCTGTAGTCAGGCAGGGAGTGGAAGATGCTTTTTTACTGAGCCGGGCCCTTCTGGCTGAAATGGGCATCCAGTGTTGGGAGGGATTTCTCAGCCTCCAGACTCCTGGCTGTGATTCGGAGCTGAAGCATCCTCCTCTAGCTTATTCATAAAAATACTGCTCTTAGTTATAACAGGTAAACAGTATTTCCAAACACGTCCAAAAGATGGAACAGGCCAGTCATGGTGGTTCATCCCTGTAATCCCAGCACCTTGAGAAGCCGAGGCTGGAGGATCACTTGAGAACAGAAGTTCGAGACCAGCCTGGGAAACATAGTGAGCCCCTGTCTCTACAAAAAATAAAAAAAATTTAGCCAGGCATGATGGTGCATGCCTTTAGTCCCAGCTACTCGGGAGGCTAAGTCAGGAGGATCACTTGAGCCCAGGAGTTTGAGGTTGCAGTGAGCTATGATGGCACCCTAGCCTGGGTGACAGAGCAAGACCCTATTGCCAAAAAAAAAGGAACAGAGTCCAACATGAGATTCAGTGCTTTTCTCCTGAGTCCTGTCCTTAGCTGTTTTAACTCTTTGCCTTTTCAAGATGATGGTTGTCAGCAGTGGCTATAATTTAAAATCACTGTGGGGATTTCAGAAAGTACTGATGCCTGAGCCCTAGCCCAGGCTAATTAAAGCAGAACTTCTGAGGCTGCTTCTAGCCCTCACCTTTCATATCCTCAAGCCCTTTGGAGGTCTGCGTGGCGAACTGATTCGCTGCTCCTTGCTCCCGCGTAGATTTCAGCTGTCTCTTGTCTGGAGTAGGAACACATGCCCACTTATCTTTGTTTACTCTTCAAACCCACCAATGTGAGGTTCACTCCTTTTGGAACAAAGGCATAAACCCACAAGAACCAAGAGAAGGCTGGCGAGGAAATGACTGCAGCCTGGGGAAATCAACATTTCTGAAGTCAGAGCATGTATATCCAATCTGCCATGTTTCACTCAAAGTCACTTGAGTTTCTTATTGACTCTGCCGTGTATGCTTTGCAGTAATAATTTTGCAACTTTCCACTCTGCAGCAATCCTCTCTCCCTGGTTTTGGCGTTCAGCCCACCCAAGGTGCTAGCTTACTTCCAGCCTTAGCCTTGATCCTGGGAAGAAATCTATGCTCGTGGATTGTTTGGGTTTGAGAAACAAAATAGTTAAAATTGCTGGGGAAGTATTTTGGGATAAGGTCGGAGGAATAAAAAGAGGGAATCACATTCAGTGTTGCACAGTAGATCTTTTTCTTTTGATTATGTGTCTATATGATAGTAATAAAGCTATCATAATGCTTTTAGGGGAAACTTGAATATAATTTTGAGAGATTTGTTTTCCATTGACACAGGTGCTGACAATACTGGTTAGACTTTCATTTTTTAAACTAGGGTCACAGGTAGATAAATGTACTTAATATGGGAAAAAGCCAAAGAATTTTTAAAAATAGTTAAAAATACAAACTATACTATGGGTCCTGTCTTCCCCAGGCTCTGAGTTGAGTCAGCAGTTACTGAGCAGACGTTTAAGTCTTTACTGCACACACTTTGATTCCGGCGGTGGCTACCATATGGGGAGATGGTATAAAGAGGTTGGGCTGTCTTTCCATCTGAGGTTTGGGGCTCCCTTTCCCTTCCCTCTCCTCCTCTCGTCTCTCTGCAGGTATCATGCTAATGGCTGGAGCCACCTGGCAGACACGAGTCTTCTGGGTGCTGCACCTTAGTGCAGAAAGTCTGCCTGTGAGTATTGTCAAGGCCAAGTGCAACCTGAGCGTGCACCTCACATATGCCCCGGCACTTAGATCTGCCATTCCTCAGGGCCTGTACTTTTCCGATGTTTTCCAGGCCCCCTGTGGAGTTAATGGGTCTTCTATTCCTGTTGAACTCCTTTTGTCCTGAGCAGTGAACAGTGACAGGTGAGCCCGACTTTCTGGCCCCTGGTGCAATTATAATTAACTGTGGGCCTCAAACAAATCCTTTAGCTATGCATGATTTTTTCCATCTTTGCATGAGCTTTGATGGTCTGTGACAAATCAACTTCTGACAGTGATTGGAAGGGAGTAGTTTTCTGACAAATGCAAAAAGATTGCCCAGAGAACTGGGTTTCAGCTGAACCAGCTCAGAGGTTTGTAGGCTGGATATGCTGATGGTTTTTCTTCTCCTCTTGAGAGACAGGGGAAGAAAAGACTAATTGATTGTAATGCATTAGAAGATATTTTGCAAAGAAATGGTCATTTCTTATAAAAGCAATGTCATGGGTAAGAACGGAACAGGGGTATAGCACCGTAGATAGAAATCACCCAGCCTGTAGTTTGCAAGCTGCTCTTCAAGGTCCTAGGTGTTCTTTGGGGACTGCTGGTTGGTTTGAGGAAGGGGTTCCAGCTTGTGGGACCTCGGAGGACAACAGTGGCAATGACGATGGAGTCAGAGACATACTTACTGCTACTGCCTTCCTGGTAGGGCTGCCCCAAGCTTCCCAGAGAGCCCTGCTTGTACACACCCCAGCTCATGCCTGCCCATGCGAAACAGGGCCACAGAACTGGAACTCTGCCCCTCTGTCATGGGGCAACTTGTTACAATACCATTTACAATGCACTAGTATGAGTCTGAAAAGAAAAACATTGGTGTGTAAGTGTTCACCTCTCAGGGGATCCCCTTTAAGGAGGATTCTGTGTTTCCCTGTTGAGCCCCTGCTGCTTGGGATTTGTGGGACAGTGAAGAGAAGACTTGGGAAGACATGAGCCAGGCCGTGTGGAGCGTCGAGCTGCAGCTGAGTTCCAGCAGGTGGGACAGCAGGAAGTGGGAGGGAAGCCCAGACTGTTTTGGGGAGGAAAACAGTTTTAAGGGAACACCTGCCCAGATGCATGTGTCTTGGGGAGGAGAGACAAGTGGAGGAAACCTTGAGGATGTTTGCTGTGTGCTGATGCTTGCTCCAAAGACTTCAACATGCATTTAAAACGCTATTGAGGAGGAAGCCGATGTTGGACTTGCATTTCTTATGGCTGTGACGCCATGCTGAGGCACAGCTGTGCAGTTACCCAGCCAGGTCAGCATCTTCCTGTTACGGGCCATCGTGAAGACTTCCCGGTGAAAGCTGCAGTCACCAGCCCTGGTAGATTGTTCAGTGGGAAGGGTGTCTTCAGATGTGGTACCAGACTCTGTAGTAAACACAAGCTTCTGTAAAGAACATCTGGTTTTTGCAAGAATTTTGGCTTAAATTCAAATACTTAACGGTGTCTGGATCCAACAGTAAAAAGGCAGAGTCTTCAAAAAGGAAAAAAAAAAGATGATTTTGTAATTTGCTTTTATTGGTAGAGCAGAAAGCGATTCCTTAAGAGTTTAACAGTCTTGCTTGATAGGACGACAATGAAGGAAAGCACAGGGGCAGCTGGAGCAGGTGAAGAGACACAAGTCTGCTCCTGGGGGGTTTTCTCCCTGAGTCAGTACCTGCTCTTCCTTGGTTTCTCTGAGATCCCCAGAGCTTGGCAGAGTTAATTTAGTTCCAGATGTCACAGCCTGGAAATAGCATGAGGTGGGATTTTGTTTCTGTGTAATCATATGTTATATAGCAAGCAAAAATCTAAAGAGACAAATTATTGTGCATAATCCATGTGCTGTTTATTTCATTAGTATTTTTAACCATTCTTAAGATGACATAGAAAGCCCTGAACTATATACTGAGGGCTAAGTTCTGGAGTCCCCAAGAAGGGGGAGGGGGCACACTTGAGAATCCATAAAAGGTAGAAAAAGAAGAAAGTTTCTGAGCAGGGGGGGTAGGTAACTTCTGCCACCTCTTCTGCTCCATCTCTTCCCACATACCTGCATCAAAGCATTCTGTGTTAAAGCAAGTATGGTGTCAATGATGGATCAGAATTCTCTGTGAAGGTATTTGGAGGCTCAAAGAAAACTGACAAACTCACCACAATGACTCTTCAGTTGGTAAAGTAAGAAAGGAGGAAGGACATGGAAATTTATTGGTAATTAGGTTGACCAGTGGACGTGAGGAGGGTGGACTTGGGGTTCCTTCTGGTTTTCTTTTTGGTGGCTGTCATACTCCTTTGCTCCTTCATAGTCCTAGAAAAGGAGTATAACATAAAAGCTTATCTGAATGGTTATTTACTACATCTTTTGGTAGTGTGTGCTTCTAGCCACTCACCTGCCCCTCCTCACCTTTAGGATTGTGTCTGCATGTCATAGGTTGCCACTGAGACGATTACAGACCAGGATCAAGGATGGGGGGTGTTTCTGAATTAGAGTAAATGCTGACCTCCTTGGAGGGCCTCTTCCCTGGCCCTCCATCAGCCTGTTGACTTCCTGCCATAATGCAGGGACGTGGGACAGGCTCTCGTGTTGTAACAAAACACCTTGTTTTGTTGGATGTTTTTCGGTTTTGTTTTTGTGAAAAACTCGAACGTTCCCCTCATGAAATATTAAAGTGGTGGCTCAATGGAAGCATCTGAGTAACTGGGCTAAACTAGTTTTCATGAATCTTTCCTGCCTTCTTTTTCTTTTAATCTTCAACTATATTTTAGTACTTTCCAACCTAAAAAATCAATCTCTCCATGGAACTTGACCTATTTTTGAGCTGCATAATTATATCTGCATGTTTCTTTTACATATTTTTCAGTCACTTGTGAATTTTCCTGCTGTTACTTTTTTTTTTTTTAGTATATTGCATTTGACCCTGACTCCTGCTTTGCCTAGAGGTAGCTCTCAGGGCAGTGTCCTTGATCAGCAGCCTGGAGTTTAGTGACAGTCTTCTGGTCATTTAAGACTTCTGCTTTATGAGAAGGTCATTCTTTAGTTCTTGCCCTTCCTGCACTTTCTTTCATTTGCTTGTTCTCTCCAGCATTCAGTTATCAACCGGTACTCTTATGGCCACACCCCATCAGCTGCCCCCTTGGGCAGCAAAAGCTGGCATAAAACAAAAGGCATGATTACTGAGAAGGAGGAGCTTGCAGTCTAGTTGGGGAGCTAAGTAGCATATCCCTGAAAGAGTAAATAAGACAGGCCATGCTAAAGTGGATTATTAGAGAAAGAGAGGGTGGGAAATAAGTATATTGCTGAGTATATGATGAGAACAGTGACTTCAAAGAGTTATTGCAGGAGAGATGGACCAGCCAAATCCTGCTCACATCCAGAGCTTAGAGTGGGTGAATTGCTGCCCCAGCTGGGCTGCCTTGGGTGGGGGGTGGGGAGTACCTTGGGAGAATCTGGGCTGCAGTCACCAATGCGTCCTATGAAACCGTCATTAAGCAGAGTGAACGGGTCTTTACAGACAGCCCTGTCTGACCTGCAGGGCAGGGGAAAGAATCCAGCTAACTTCTCTTATTCTCAGGCCTTGAAGGGAGGAAGGGAACCATGGCCAAATGGTTATAGTGTTAGATGATGGAGTTACAAGCAGATGTTTAGTTTTGTTCTGTTTCTTATATTTAAAAAATACACCTAGTTATAGAATAGTTTTAGATTCACAGAAAAAATGGCAAAGATACCATAGTACGTACAGAGTGTCTCCTTATATCCCATCCCCAGCTATACCCCCATTATTGATAGCTTACGCTGATGTGGTACTTTTTGTCACAGTGTTACCTAAAGTTCCATACTTCATTCAAATTCCCTTTGTTTGCAGCTAATGTCCTTTTTCCTGTTCCAAGATCGATACAGGACACCACATGACATTTAGTTGTCATGTCTCCTTAGGCTCCTCTTGGCTGTGACGGTTTCTCAGACTTCCGTTGTTTTTGATGACCTTGGCAGTTTTGTTCAGTACTGGTCAGGTGTTCTGTAAAATATCCCTCCCTCAGGACTTGTCTTGTGTTCTTTTCATGGCTAGAATGGGGTAATATGTTTTGGGGAGGAAGACCACAGAGGGGAAGCACTATTCTCATCACATCCTTATCATTATTTTGTCCCCCATTTGTCCTTATCACTATTTTAGCTCCCATAAATGAGTGAAAGCATGCCATATTTGTCTTTCAGTGTCTGGCTTATTGCACTTAACATAATGATCTTCAGTTCTATCCATGTTGCTGTAAATGACAGGATTTCATTCTTTTTAAGTATTTCATACACTTCACATTTTCTTTATCCAATCATCCATTGATGGGCACTACTTAGGTTGATTCCATATTTTGGCTGTAGTGAATACTGCTGCAATAAACATGGGAGTACAGACATCTCTTTGGCATACTGATTTTGTTTCCTTTGGATATATACCCAGCAGTGGGATTGCTGGATCACATGGCCATCCTATTTTTAACTTTCTGAGGAACCTCCACACCGCTCTCCATAATGGTTGTGCTTGCTTAACATTCTTATCAACAGTGTACAAGGGTTCCCCTTTCTCCACATCCTGGCCACCAAGCTATTCCCTGTCTTTTTGATTAAAGCCATTTTAACTGGGGTAAGATGATCTCATTGTAGTTTTGATTTACATTTCTCTGATTATTGATGTTGAGCAGTTTTTCATATACCTGTTGGCCATTGTATGTATGCTTTTGAGAAATCTCTACTTAGATTTTTTTGTCAATTTTTTAACTGGATTATTTGGGTATTTTTTTGTTTTGTTTTGCTATGGAGAGGTTTGAGTTCCTTATATATTTAGATTATTACTCCTTTGTCAGATGGATAGCTTGCAAATATTTTCTCTCATTCTGTGGATTGTCTCTTTGCAGAGGTTTGATAGCTTGATGTAATCCTGTTTGTCTATTTTTGCTTTTGTTGCCTGTGCATTTGAAGTCTTAAGAAATCTCTGCCCAGACCACTGTCCTGGAACATTTTTCTCAATGTTTTCTTCTAATAATTTTATAGCTTTAGGTCTTACATTTAAGTCTTGAATCCATTTTGATTTGTTCATGATGAGAAATAGGGGTCTACTTTCATTCTTCTTCATATGGTTATCCAGTTTTCCAGCACCATTTATTGAAGAGACTGTCCTTTCACCCATTGTGTGTCCTTGGTGCCTTTTTTCAAAAATGAGTTGGCTATAAATGTGTGGATTTATTTCTCAGTTCTTTAGTGTCTTCCATTGGTAAATGTGTTTTCTTTTATGCTAGTACCATGCTGTTTTAGACACTATACCTTTGTAGTATACTTTGAAGTTAGGTAGTGTTATGCTTCCAGATTTGTTCTTTTTACTCAATATTGCTTTGGCAATTTGGATTCTTGTGTGGTACCATATAAATTTTAGAATTGGTTTTTTTTTTCTAGTTCTGTGAAGAATGTCATTGGTATTTTGATAGAGATTGCATCAAATCTGTAGACCGCTTTGAATAGTATTAACATTTTAATTCAAATTCATGAGTATGGAATATCTTTCCATTTTTTGTGTCCTGTTCCATTTCTTTCATCAGGATTTTCCTTGTAGAGAGTTTTCACTTCTTTGGTTAAATTTATTCCTAGCTATTTTTATTTTTTTTTATTTTTTGTAGCTATAGTAAATGGGATTGCTTTCTTGATTTCTTTTTCAGATTGTTCCTATTAGATTTTTACTGAAGGAATAAAGTCTGTAACTATCTGTAGAGGTTGGGAAGACCTGAATTTGAACTCAGGCTGGTCTCATTCCAAGGACCTTATATTCACCCTCTTTGCCCTCAAGTTTTGACAGTGACTTGGCTGGTGAGTATGCTTGCCTGGCATTGGAACCTCAATTAGAGATATTTGAGGACTTAAGGAGTCTTGGGGGGGGTTCAAAGTACCCACTTCTGCTTTTCATAGCTTCTAAATTCACTTTTGTGGGCTAGCCTGGGAATTCATCCAACATAGGCAACATTGCTTTCATAGGGAAATTTCCTTTTAATTTCAAGTAACTAACTAACTTACCAGTAAGTTCTTGGAATGTAGGTAGTTTGCCTTGCAGAATTGGGGTTCTGCCTGTCTGTTGTGTAAGACAAAGCAGGATTCCAGCAAGGAATGGGGTGATGTAGTGGAAAGAGTACTGCACTAGGCGTTGGAAGACCTCTGCCTTAGTCATAGATCTGTCACAATTACTGTGATCCTGAGCCAGTCCCTTCTAAGCTTGAGGTTTTCATTTCTGTTTCAATAAAATGAAGTTGGACAAGGAGATCTCGAAGATCCCTTTCAAACCTAAGAACTTATTATCCACTGTAGACTAATATGCAGAAGTGAAAGTAGTTGTGGTAAATTTTGGATAATTTTATAAAAACCTGTTTTCATTAAAGTTGCTTTGTCATTTTTTTTTTTTCCAGTAGAAAGTGCTGGGCTGCCTTAACTTTTCCTATTCCCTGGCCATGTACTTAGCGGGGTTGCTCACTGGCCAGGTGCTAGAGAGGAATAGAGATAGACCTCCTTGTGGCTTTGGTGAAGCCAGTTTGGGTGCAAGCAAGTAGATTTCTGTCCAGCTACTTTTTTCATTCCTCTGATATTTGATCTATTAAGTGGCTAAAAATAATTTATATGAAATTACTGACACTAGAAGGTTCCCATAGTTTAAAGACAGCCACAGATAGTAATCTGCCTCCTGTTGCCTAACAACCCATCGTAACTCTGATTCGCATGATTTCTGAGTTTTTAAAAATGATTGACACCTTTGAAAATGGGAACTTTTATCTCCGGAGATTAACTATCTTTGAGTTAAAAATTTTAGTAAAATTCAAATTGTTTAGGTATTACCTTCCACTTCCATTACCTCTGTATAGTTAGAATTAAATACCTAGGAATTCCTTTCTGATAGCCTTGCAGGCTGGGACCAAGCATTTAGCCCACTAATTTATTTATAAAATATAAATGTTTTCAGTGCTTTCTTGGTGTTTTTAAGCTTAGGAGACACACTGGAAGCTAGGAAAATTAAAATCTAACCATTTCTTGAAAGTACTTCATAGACGGATAGATTAACAATACAATTATTGTCTTAGTCTTTTCTTAGTTGAGTTTGTGTTTACTGATAAAATACTCACACATAAAATTCACTCAGAAAATAGCTTCTTACAATAAAAAGAAACCCACAATATGATGGAAATGCTCTGACTTAATGATAGAGCAATGAAATTAAATAGAAGAAAGCAACTGACTTTATTTAACCAGAATACCTTATGCTTCCAATAACTGGCATTCAACTTGGACCATATCTGTGGCTAGGTTGATATTCTTTTGGGAAACATGCCACTGTACTTGAGTTTTCAGATGATTATGTCAATATTGACGTGTCAAAGAAATGAGCTGCGTGCCTCTCTGATAAAAGATATCTGGGGAAAGGATTAGCAAAGGACCAAGTCAGTTAGAGCAATAAGCATTCCTGTCATTAATAACATTTGAATGGTTCCTAAGGACATTTTGCTGCCCTTAAAATTCTTCCAGAAAATGCTTGCTGCTATTTGAGATGTGCAGTGAGGCAGACCTCTGGGCACTTCTAAGGCTTAGTATGCACGGTGCCGGGTAGTGGCGCGGGGCAGCCAGACCCCAGCACCCAGGAGGCTCAGGCCAGGGACAGATTGGCTCCTGGTGAGTGAGTCAGGCCCAACCAGGGAAACTTGGGTCAAGAAGATAAAAATTCCATCGACTAACACTTAAGAGACATTGCACTTCATTTCCTTTGGTGACTGCCAGTGTGATAACTTGCAGAAGGGGGAAGGATCTGTGTGCAAATGGAGAAAGAAAGGGAGTGCCAGAGACAGAGTCAGGCAGGGAGAACTGGATGGTTCCCCAGGAGGGAAGGAGGACCAGGAAGAGACAGAGAGGGGGAGGAGTTCCCAAGGAGGAGGAAGAGGGGGAGAAGGTGGTGATTTAGCTTTAGTGAAACCAAGAACAAAGACCTATCTCTCGGTGCTCTTCTTGGTCCCTCCCTTGGTCTCTCCCTTCTTCTCTCTTCCTTTTTTTGGTCCCGTAAGGCCCTAGATGCACAGGGATAGTTGTCTTTTGGTGCCCGTCTCTCTCTCACAACACAGAAGCAAACTACTGTGGGATGTTTAAAACCTTTAATATAAAAGCAAAACAGAAATCTAAAAAGTAGTGTGACAATTTTAGGCAAAAAGACAGATGTGGATCTCATAACTTCAGAGGACCACAAGCAACAGTGTCATGACTGCCTTCCTGTAACGGTGGTCCAGGAAGTGACCCGGGCCTGGGCTGACGAGGGCTGAGGCTGTGGCTTGGACTTGCTTGTGCAGAGTTCTGGGTGGGAGCCAGGAGTCGACACGGGAGGTGCAGCACTGCCGTGGATCCTTGTGGAGGACCCTCTAGTCCCTTGCTCTGGCCCTGACACCATCTTGAGGTGTGTAATGGGAGAAAGCCTGGCTGGGTGGCTTACTGATGTTTGCAGGTGCATCAGACATCTGTAAGAAATGGATCGTCCCACACATTGCTTTAAACCAGGGATCCCAAGTAGGTTTTTATTTCAAGAGCCAAACCTATTGATTGGTACTAGATTTCTGAAATGCTGTGCCTGGGCTTGGGGGTTCAGTTATTAGTACCTGCCCTGAGGGTTGTGTGTGGGAGGGTAGTATTTTCCTTCTCCAGTCTAAATCCTTCTCAATCATATTAACCTTAGATTTTCCTCATTCTCTTCTCCATGCATAGGTACCTTTTGCTTGATCAGACTGAGTCTGAGATTAGGTCTGCCCTCAATTCTAAAGCATAACATTGGAGCAAGTCCTTGAAGTAGACAGTACCGTCAGTAGCTTGTCCACAGTCTGGCTTCCTCGCCCTCTTGTGTGCCCTTTTCCTTGCCCTACCTTCTCCCCACCCCCAGGACATACAAATCTCATGGGATCCTGACATTGCGGAAGAAATGAAGACATGTTAACTCTCCACAGAGAGCAGCCTACCCCAGTCTGATTCACTTGGGCCTATATTATTCCAGGGTGAGGGAGAACCTCAGGCTACCCTGAAAATGGGTAGCCTGAGGTTACCCAAGAAAAATGGGTCACTAAAAATGGATTCACCTTCAAGCCCCGGAGGAGCCCTTGTCTGGGTTTGCACACCAGCCCTGGGCTGGTTTTCCCAGAACCAGACCAGCAAGTCTCCAGCTCTTTGGAGCAGGTGGAGAGGACATTGCATTCCTTGGGAGCGACCCGAGGACAGCAAGAGCTGAGCTTCCCACTCTTTGCGTTTGTCTTAGGAGACTGAAACATCCTCCTTGGTTTTGTCCTTGTTGGAATCACTAGGAGGTGACTACAGACTTCCAGCACTCCATGGCATCAGTTTTCTTCTGCAGTAGTTTGAAAGTCATTGTGTAAAGAGTATCTTTAACATTTAATGCTAGAAATTTCCTTTCCCTTGTACCCTGTGTTCCCAAGGGATGGAAAACCATCCAGACAGGTCCTGGAGCTGTTACCACCACCCTGTGGCTGCTCTAGAAGCCATCCAGCATGGGGGGGACACCTCTTTTCCCTTCCAGGGCAGAGGCATGAGATTGGTCCAACCTGACCTAGTGTCACTCCTGGAGGGGGGGAGGCCATGGGGGAGTGAGGGAGTCAAAGGCTTTGAGCACCAACCACAAGGATGCAAATCCTAGCTTCTCAGCTTATAGCTGGGTGAAAGATCATAGGACCTTCTAGCTTTAGGTTGATCGACTTGTAAAACCAAGAAAACAACATTCCCTACTCTTAGGACACTTAAGAGAATACATGAAGTGCTTGGCACAACACACAACATTCTGGAATGCCCAGTGCTGGCCTTTGTGTTACTGTATGAACATCACTCTGCCCTCAGAGATGGGCTCCACTTAATTAACATTCAGCCCCTCTAAGAGCCCGGTGTGCTCTGGGCAGGGAAAGAGATGACTTCAGGCACCCTGCAGGTGAGCACTGCCTGTGGCACAGGGCCCCACAGTGCAGACCCTGCAGAAGTGGGGACTCTTGTTAAAACTAATATAAATGCCAAGAAACCCCAGATGACTTGTACCGTCTGAAGGCAAAGAGTAGGTCTGTCCCCATGGTAGGATAGTTGGGTGGCCCCTCGGGTTCCCAGGTACTTCCCACTTCTTGATAGAGGCGTGAAGACAGGTGCTCCCGTGTTCCAGCTTGTGGGTGTCAAGGGAAGCAACAGAATGGGAACCAGGAACACTGGACTTGGGATGCTGACCTGGTGGCAGCCGTGTGAGTCCTCATAGGGACCCAGTCTGCTGGATTGTCTGATGTCCCTTCCACCTTCAGGACTCTGCAGTACTGAAGCCACGTGTGTGGTATGTACTTCTCCCCTAGTCTGGGTAATGTGGTGAGGAAGACAGGGCCGTTAGGGGCATATGAGGTACTAAGAATAGCCAGCTAGACGAGGTGATAAGGGCCCAAATGGTTGGGGACGTCAGTTGGGGACAGGGGAGGCGGAGGCGGTGGGGAAAGAGCAGGGTGATAAGATAGGGACAGCGACACAGGAATGCACAGCTGGGGCTGAGGAGCCTGTCATGGGCGAGGGAGCTGCCCAGAGCCCCTCCTGGCTGTTCCCTGCGGGCAGGAGCTTGTGAAAAGGAAGGACAAACTCCAGCCAGAGCAAATCATGGAATTTCAGAGCCAGCGGGATTTTAGTGATCAAATCCTGCACCTCCATCCAACCCCCAGTACTTCATAGGGGCGGAATCCTTGGCTCCGAGATGTGAAGGGACTACTTTAGGGTTGGTGGCAGAGCTCAGTCCAACCCCAGCTGTTCTGCTTCTCCCACTGGAGTTCCTTCTACCACCGCCCCATGCCCTGCCATGGTGCCTCGCCGGCACCCCCAGCTGGGGACTAGCAAGGGTGCAGCGATAGTAATCCCACCAATACACGGAGCGCCTTCTAGGCAGAAGATCTGGGAAATAGTATAATTGTAATACAATATAACAGACAGGACCCATGTTTTCCTGTTTTCCATAAACAAATAATGGTGTCAGTTTCAGATTGTGACAAGTGCTAGGAGAAGGAAACTAACACGGGGCTTGAGGCTGTTGAGGCCTCAGGATGTTGGCATTGCTGTACTTGGGGGTCTTTCCCCTTAGAACTGTGACCACCCTGATGCTTGCTGACAATCGAGGTGGAATTATCCGTTTTACTATATCCCCCCATCCTAAACCCCAGCTCTCTGCCTAGTACCAGGTACAGAGCTGCACGTAGGAAGCAAATATTGACCTTCTTGGGGTTGAATGATTACTGTTTACTCCTGCTTTATGAAACTTGAGGAGACATTTCCCCTCTGGCTGGTTCTGTGGATCTGGGCACAGATGAAGGGGCACGTGTAAACCATGCTCGGAGAGAGATCCCCGCGCCGAGTATACAGCGTGGATCTCTGCGCTGCCCGACTGCCACGTGGGCGGCTGTCCTGCCTGGTGCGGTGGCTGTGAGGCGGGGCGGGGGCTCTCCCCCGGATCCCACACCCAGCAGACTACCCGGGCTCCCCCGGGGTATCCACCACCTCATGCTTTAGTTGTTCTCTTAGGAGTTCCAAAGTGGCATGCTTAGGACATGAAAACCGAACTGCTTCGAAAGCTCTCAGAAGTCAAACCCTTCGTGCTCAGCTATCACTGGACCAGGCGACAGCTGATGCTGGCACAGAAATAACTTGGCAGGCACGTCAGGCTTGACAAGGGGTTGCAAGGCCTCATCGCCTCTGGTTGGATCTTAACATGAAGCCAGTTGGTGTCTTTCTGGGATTTCAGGCGTTCGGAGTTGTTCCGGAGTTGCGGGCTTCCTGAGGGAAGCTGCCGAGGCTTAAGGGGGTGGTGGCGGGTCTGAGGGGGGGCTCCAGTGCTCTGTGGCTAAGCCAGAATAAGCATTATTATTTCCACAAATCAAGCCATTTTCAAGCATGTT